AAGCCCTCCCAATGGGTTTCTCCAATTGGGTAGTCAATAGATCAGAAGATGTCCCAGGGGTGGAGGCTTAAAACGTGTATCGCTCTTTGTTCTAACTCTCGCCTGGGGCTTGCACATGTGGTTTAGACTTTAGAGAGTCAAGATGTCAAGACGATAATCCTTTTGTTTCGTTTGCAGTGTTTCCCAGTGACCCTTCCTTCATTAGTGAAGTGAAACTTTCTTGTTTAAAAGCTAATACAAGTCTTCTGCTGCGTTTATTAACTCCGCTTTTTGCACTGGAATTCCTAATAAGATCTCAGAAGTTAAACAGGGTCAGCCCTGGTTAGTACTCGGATGGGAGACCACCAAGGAAGTCCAGAGTCATGATGCAGAGGCAGGCAACAGCAAGCCACATCTGTTTGTCTCTTCTTGCCTTGAAAACCCTACAGGGTAAACCATAAATCAGCTGTGACTTGACGGTACTTTCCACCACCACAAGGCTCCTTATAAATCCTAACCACGGCTCTTTTTGTAGCAGGAACACCTTTGCATATTAGGCAACACACCCCTAATGTAGCCAAACCTCCAAGAGCTTACAGTAGCCCCAGTAAGAAGAGCTCTGTAAGCTCTTGGAGGATTGGCTACATTAGGGGTGTGTCACCTAATATGCAAAGGAGTTCCTGCTACGAAAAGAACCCTGGTCCTAACAAAAGTTGTATCTGATAAAGGGAGTTTTGACTCTTGAAATCTTATATCTCCGGTTGGTCTTTAAGGGACTACTGGATTTGAATCTTGTTCTTAAAACTCCAGGAATACTTCCAGTCCTGTCTGTGGATATCTGAGAAACAAGGAGCATATTCTTTTGAGAAAAATGAACTTATTTTAGATGTGTTTTTGGAAAATATTGCAGATCTATTTCCTTGGAGGAATATTGTTCACATCCAGCTGATAAGTTTGCAAAAACTTAGCACACTTCAAAACAAAAAAAATCTATTAACAGTCTTCACACCCTGAAACAGCAACCAGATTTAAAAATGCTTCCCCAAAGATGCAGAACAACAACAACAACAAAAAATACTTAGAGGGGTGGGAAAAGCAATATGTAGTTACCAAGATAGAGGCACACAGGTTCACAACAGATGCCACAGTGCTGAGATTGTGTGAGAGTGAGACACGAGGCGGGGGGGAAATCTTAAACTAATTGGGGGACCTCTGAATTTAGAGGATCACTCGAAGGGAGAGGAATGATTTAACTCAGAATTGCTTCTCAATTGTTCACATTGGAGGAGGAGATGGCGTTGAGGGATTTGCTAACAAGTATCTGATTTCCTCCTATGTTTTGGATAAGCGTCCCTGTAATGGGGGGGTCATTTCCAAGGAATGTATCAAGTACAATTGTCATGATTCTAAGCACATGTACTTGTAGGTCCCATTGAAATAAATGGGACGCGAGTCCTCCTTAATAGCTGTCAGGGTATAAGATTAGCATCATACTAGGCTATTTCTTTAGGACATTTGTTGACCTAGAAATGGAATGTTGATGATGCTGTGACCTTTTTTTTAAAAGTTAATATTACAGTTGTTTCCAGAACAGGGCCTGAGCCTAATTAATTCTGAAAGGGGCTAGTTGCCTGACTTCTTTACACACAAAATACCTTCCCCTGATGAAGGTAAGTTGACAGAACGTATCAGCAGTTTGTTTGACAACCCAGACCAGTAAAGTGGTGTTTTGTGCCATGGCTTTTTCTATGGAGAGGAACTTTTTGGTGTTCAGTCTCTCCCCTCCAGGCTTTAGTGTTCTAATATTATTTAATGCTTGTAATCTGTCATTCGGTGTCTCTCTACTGGAAGAATGCAAGTATTAGCCAATAAGGGTACATTAGAGAAACCCACTTACACAGCACACACACACCCCCAAATAACCCTCCATGCTTAATTCTCCAAGCGAAAGCTGACTGAGGCCCCGGTCACACGGAAGGTTTTGGCCCGGGAGAGGGACGGATCGGGGGCGCAGCAAACGGGCGCGATCTCACTGCAACATCTGGGAAGCGGCATGCACCCGTCCCCGATCCGGCCCTTCAGGCCGAAAATCCGCTGTAAAAAAAACCACCTACAGAGCAGGACTTACTGGAAATGCCGCATAAAGGGCGGCCGTCGGATCGCCGGTCTTCTGGAGCAATCGAGGCTCCCAGCCGAACTACGCATGCACACACATGCGCAGCCGGCGGCCTCGTGCTCCCTTCTGTGGCCGTGGCTTTCTCCCCGGCATCTGATCATGCCGGGGAGCAACCGCGCGGCAGCTCACGGGATCTGTGTGATCCCGCCGCATGTCTCAAAAGCCGCACTTTGCCCACATCAATTTCCCCCTGTGTGGCAGGGGCCTCCATTTTCACAGGAAAAGAAAGGAACTTCATTCCCACAGAGGGAAACCCCCCTCCCCCTCTTCCTCGCGGGCGTGTGTGTGCTATGTGCCATCAAGTTGCTTCCGATTTATTGCAACCCTACAAATTAGCAACCTCCAAAATGTCCTATCCTTAACAGTCTTGCTCAGGTCTTGCAAACTGAGGGCTGTGGCTTCTTTGATTGACTCAATCCATCTCCTGTTGGATCTTCCTCTTTTCCTGCTGCCTTCAGCATCTCCTAGCACCCACTGACTCCTGTCTTCTCATAATGTGACCAAACTACAATGGTCTCAGTTTAGTCCTTTTAGCTTCTAGGGAGAATTCAGGCTCGCTCCTCACACAGCAGTAAGCAAATATTATGTAATTTCTTTCTTTTTATATCAGTTTCCGTTCTTGACGGCTGCTCTGGTCTTCTGCTGTTTGCCATTGGTTTTGCAGATTTCTTTGCACCGAGTGTGCATGCTGTGCAGGTTTTATCTGCAGTTTATCGACTAAATTAAAATACCTTTCTTGTCGACAAATGGGGACCCACGGCAGTTTACGGAACTAGTTTTAACCGGCACTATTGAAACCTAACATACAAACCAGAGAAAACATGACATAAAAACAGACTAAAAAAAAATGCATCCCAAAATGAAAATCAACAGTAAGCTATTTTGGGCTTAAGGACTATCAGTAAGGTATCCCTTACTCTCTTTAAAAGCCCCTTCTGTAAAACCTCCTTCTTTAAAAGCCCACTCTTTAAAAGCCCCCTTCTAAACAAAAATGGCTTCACAAAGCTTCTGCAACATTCGCAATATGAGAGCTCCTCTTAGCCTCCTCAAGGGATCCACTGACACCACAGGCAAAAAGGACCAAGTTCAGGCTGTGGAGGTTCCAATGGATTTCAGGGAAGGCACAGTTGGGGGTGGGGGAGCCAGGGGAACACCTGACTATTTATTGATGCACAAATAATTTTGAAAATTGCATACATGCTTGGGGAGGGGAGGAACTTTGAATGAGGGAAACACAAAAAGATGAAGAATCACAAGTTTGATTCACACCGTGAAAATCAGAATGGGGATTGGGGAGCTGGAACAGCAGGGATGAGAAATCCAAAGCCCGCCGCTGAAAGCACGGCTCCGAACAGTAGAATAAGTTTCACATTCTTAACAAGAAAACAAACCCTTCGTCATTCTACAAGTAAGCAAGTCCTGGGGTTGTGTAGTGGGTCAAAGTCTGTGTTAGAGAAAGAATGGCTATGAATTGTACCTTAATCATGGGAGTGCTTAGAAACAAGTAGAGGAACGTTTCGTTCTCTTTGTGTGCTCCTACTCTGACTTCAAGGCTATACTTAAGTATTTTGAAACGGAAAACGGGGTGAGAGGAGAGAGAAAGAGAGTTACCTATATCGTGCACATAGTTTCACCTAGCCACAGCCAAAAGCAAACCTAGGGAGTGAATCCCTGACCTGGATAGCCCAGGGTAGTCGGATCACAGAAGCTAAACAGGCGCTGGCTAGTATTCGGATGGGTGGCCTCCAAGGAATACCAGGATCGTAATGCAGTGGCAGGCAATGGGAAACCACCTCTGACTGTCTCTTGCCTTGACAACCTGATGGGGTCATTATAAGTCAACTGCGACTCGATGGCACTTTCCACCACCACCCTGGAGTGAATCATTGTGTATTGGCAAACAACGTTCCAGGGAGAATTAACCTGCCCTACCTCGGCACCATGGCCTTGGTCCATAGAAACGCTTCCCATAGAGTTGGCTGGCAAATGGTGGGAGAGCCGGTTGGGGTGGGGACCTCAGAACATATGAACGTAAGAGAAGCCATGTTGGATCAGGCCAGTGGCCCATCTAGTCCAGCACTCTGTGTCACACAGTGGCCAAAACTCAGGTGAAAACACACATTTGCAGCTTTGCACTTATACCATGATATCACTTTCAGAAGAACCCAGAAATGTCGTCAACGAACTGGTGCAACGCTCTAGCATTTGCTGAAATCTCTATGGTTTAACCATAGATTTTTGGGTGAATGCTAGAGTGCCACCCAATGCAATGATGTCACTTCCAATTGCGGCAATGCTGATCACCCCCCATTTTACCCCTGCATTTTACCCCCGCTGAGCAACTGATGGCACAGCTGGCAAGGGTGTGGAGGTTTCTCACCAAAGCAGGAGCCCCAATCACCCAAGTCCCTATACATACTGTACAAACTGAGAGCCAGTTTGGTGTAGTGGTTAAGTATGCAGACTCTAATCTGGGAGAACCAGATTTGATTCCCTACTCCTCCACATGCAGCTGCTGGGTGACCTTGGGCAAGCCACAGTTCTCTCAGAGCTGTTCTATCAAGAGCAGTTCTTAGTCAGAGCTCTGTCAGCCCCACTTATCTCACAGGGTGTCTATCATGGGGAGAGGAAGGGAAGGAGATTGTAACCCACTCTGAGACGCCGAGAGAAGGGTGGGTATCAATCCAATCTCCTCCTCCTTTTCATAAGAACATAAGGGGTGAACACGTGGAGATGACTAATACTAAAACCATTGGTCTATCATGATTTACTCTGAATGGCAGCTACTGTTCATGCTCTTAGTTAGAGAGTTTTTTCACATCACCTATTAGCTGACCCTTGTAACTGGAGATGCCAGGGATTGAACCTGGGACCTTCTGCATGGAAAGCAAATGCACTACCATTGTCCCACAGCCCCTCCTGGAGGTGCAATGCTGGAACAGACCAGTGGTCCGTGTACCCCAGCATTCCATATCACACAGCATCCAACCCCTTCCAACTGGAAAGCCAACGAAAAGGTATAGAGACCAAGACCATCCCCCGATGCTGCCTCCTGGTATTCAAAGGTTTTCTTCCTCTGCATGTAGAGGTTCTTCTGAGTAATCATGGCCACTAGCAATGGTATTCCCAGTAGTCATGTATGGCTGCGAGAGTTGGACTATAAGGAAGGCCGAGCGCCGAAGAATAGATTCTTTTGAACTATGGTGCTGGAGAAGACTCTTGAGAGTCCCTTGGACTGCAAGAAGATCAAATCAGTCAATCCTAAAAGAAATCAACCCTGACTGTTCCCTGGAAGGCCAGATAATGAAAATGAAGCTCAAATACTTTGGCCACCAAATGAGAAGGGAGCACTCACTAGAGAAGACCCTGATGCTGGGAAAGATTGAAGGCCAAAGAAGACGGGGACGGCAAAGGATGAGATGGTTAGACAGTGTCATAGATGCAAAGAACATGAAATTGAGCCAACTTCAGAGGACGGCGGAAAACAGGAGGGCCTGGTGGGATCTTGTCCATGGGGTCGCGAAGAGTCAGACTCGACTGTGCGACTGAACAACAAAAGCTACGGAAGGACCTATCCTCCCTGAATGTATCCAATCCCCTTTTAAAGCCATCTAGGCTCGTGGCTGTCAATACATACAACTGGGAATGCATTCCACAACTTAATTACTCTCAGTTAAGAGAGTAAGTTTGGTGTAGTGGTTAGGAGTATGGACTCTAATCCAGGAGAACCAGGTTTATTTTATTTATTTGTTTGTTTGTTTGTTTGTTCAATTTATACCCTGCTGTCCCCACTGAGACAGTCTCAGGGTGGCTTACATAAAAGTAAATGCATAAATAACAGTTAAATGTTTCATAAAATCATCTAAAAACAGTTCAATTATAAAACAATTCAATATCATAAAGTGCTAGCAGTGTCTATTTAACTGCTTAACGATGGTGGTACTGTATGAATGCATTCAAAGATCTAACTAGGTGTTCAGCTCATTGATCATTCCCTGATATGATTGGCAGGCACAGGCTGTGGATGGCAAAACTGAGGGCTAGGACTCTAAAAGTTTCAGTTGTTGTTGGTGGTAGTGGTGGTGGCTCCTTAGTTGAAGGCTTGGTGGAAGAGCTCCGTCTTACAGACCATGCAGAACTGTAAGAGGTCCTGCAGGGCCCTGATCTCTTCTGGGAGCTCATTCCACCAGTGCGGAGCCATCACCAAGAAGGCCCTGGCCCTGGTTGTAGCCAGCATGGCATCCTTGGAACCCGGGAGGGCCAGTCAGTTTTGAGACCCTGACCATAGTGCTCTCTGGGGGTACATATGGGAAAAGGTGGTTCCTCAGGTATGTCAGACCCTGGCCATATAGGGCCTTAAAGGTAAGAACCATCATGTGCTGGGTTTGGCCGGTCACCATGGATACACTTCACTGAAAGCTGGATACACAGTCCAAAAGCAAGCCAAGAAACAGAGCCGGGAAGAAACAGAATGTCGGGAAATCAGTCAGAGTTTTAAGGAGCAAGGAGCAGAGTCCGGCAACCGGGACAAGGTCCGAGAATGCATGGTTGCATCAGTGCCAAGGCAGGTGACTGTGGTTGCTTATGGCCAGATCTTCCCTTTCCTGGGAGGCAAGCTGCAAAGACTCACAGCCCCTCACGTTGCCTTTGCAACAGCTGAAGTCTGGTACTCCTCCTTCTCTCCTGCACATTCCGACGCTGGCGTGCCCTGCACCTGGGACATCCAGGTGAGCTAGGTGGGGACTCTGGCCTCCAGGTGTCTCCAACTGGGGGTGCTGGGCCAGGCTCTGGACCAGACTCTCCCTCTGACTGCAACTCAGTCTCTTCATCTTGCTGCCCCTACTGCACAGATGCTGGGGTCTCTTCTCCCTCAGGTGCTGGTAAAGGTTCCTCTTCTGGGCTGACTCCAGAGGAGGCTGGGTTCCTCCATGCCTCTTCCTCATCTGAGGAATAGTCAGCCTCACCAGAGCCAGGACCCATGACACAGCACCTTGAAGCAAATTCGGTATGCTGTCAGCAGCCAGTGCAATGCCTTTAGCACAGGCTGGATGTGCTCCTGCGTGGGGAGGCCCATCAAATGCCTGGCTGCAGCTTCCAGATTTGCAACAAGGGCAGCCCCAAGTACAGAGCATTACAGAAGTCTAATCTCGAGATAAACATCGCGTGGATCACTGTTGCCAAGTTGTTGCGGTCGAGGAAAGGAGCCAACTGCCTAATCAGACGCAGATGGTAAAAGGCTGCTTTGGCAGTGGCTGCTACCTTGAGCCTCCATTGTTAAGGAGGCATCCAAGAGCACACCCAAACTCCTAACCTCTGGCGCTGGCACCAAGGGTGCCGCATCAAAGGTCGACTCAGGCACAGGACATCTGTCTTTGTTGGATTCAATTTCAGTTGGCTCAGTCTAAGCCAACCAGCCACAGCTTGTAACGCCCGGTCCAGATCTTCCGGTCTGGCGTCAGATTGGCCACCCAACAACAGGTAGAGCTGGGTGTCATCCGCATACTGGGTGTCCTCCGCATATAGATGTTGAATAGCATCGGGGAAAGCACTGCCCCTTGAGGCACTCCACAATCCAGTGGGTGCCTTCTGGACAGCTGTTTCTCATTGTCCCTGACCTTGGAGAAAGGAGGAAAGCCATTGCAAGGCAAGCCCCTGGACTCCTATGTCGGCAAGGTGATGGATCAGTAACCGATGGTTGACTGTGTCGAACGCTGCAGGCAGGTCCAACAGCAACAGTACTGCCAATCCGCCCTGATCCAGATGCTTCCGGAGATGATCCGTGAGGGTGACCAGTGCTGTTTGATTACCCTCTCCTCCACATGCAGCTGCTGGTGTGACCTTGGGTCAGTCACAAGTTCTTTCAGAGCTGTTCCCTCAAGAGCAATTCTCTCAGAGAGCTCTCTCAGCCCCACCTACCTCACAGGGTGTCTGTTGTGGGGAGGGGAAGGGAAAGGAGATTGTAAACCGCTCTGAGACTCCTTTGGGTAGCAAAGGGTGGGGCATAATTCCAATCTTCTTCTTCTTCTTCACGATCCCATTGCTCTCTTCCTGTTACCAAAGGCATACACCGATGAACCCGGTGAGAAGCAGGCAGCTTCACAATACACAGGAGATCCATATGGCTGTTTTCTCTGACCTAAAACCATAATATTCCTTCCAGTGAGACAAATGGGACATGCAAGTTGCCCTACATCTCTCCAGTAGCTAGAAGTTAGCCAAAAAAAAAAAGTAGGTCGGGCATATGCTCATTAGTGGAGAAGGAGGATAAATTAGCAATGCTATTCAGTGAAGTGTTATTAATGAGACAGCCGTGTTTGAAGAGAAGCTATCACATTTCCTTGCATATTTCGGCTCTTGCAGATTCGACACATTTCAAGCTGAGGTGTACGTTCCAGAGGAGGTGGAGGCTTAGATTGCACCCTCGTGGCTTTATTTCAAAGGCTTCTGAATCACACCTCTGGCGTCTCAAGCTAATCTGTAAGTCAGAAGCACCAAAGTATAAGGCTGGCTTTTAAAGTTGAATCTTGGTCAGGTTCGGGATAGAATCGGAGGCGCTGCGGGCTCACAGAGGCTAGGGCCTTGCCACTCCCACTCTGCCCCATCAACCACTTCAAAAAGAGTGGCTCCTTCTAGCCACATGCCTTTGGATATATCTGGTCTGAAAATATACCTGAAAAAATACCTTATTAGTGTCTTCAGGATGTCTTTGGGTCTCTGGATGGTATTTGGGATCTTCTGGGATACCAGAAAAATGGGCCCTGAAGAATCCTGGAAATATTTGGGCATAACCAGACATATTGGGAGCCAGTGTTTTAAGGCTCCCAGGGCTTCACGCAGCGGTCAACGTTGTCCTGGAAGGCCAACAAACAGAGTATACAAGCCAAGATCTTCCCCCTTGATGTTGCTTTCTAGGACTGGTATTCACAGGCTCTCTTTAGTTCAAAGAGGTTTGTAGCTTGGGGATGCTCTTAGATTTGCATTTACAGCTGGAGGCTCAGATCTCCTCTGTGGCACACTATACCTTTAAACAGGTTTGGATGGTGTGCCCACTGTGATTAAGAACATAAGAGAAGCCAATACTGGATCAGGCCACCCAACACTCCTTGAGAAAGGAGATTTGATCACAGTCCTTCTCATGCATGTGCATCGGAGTATTGAAGTTAGTGGTTCACGATAGATAGATAGATAGATAGATAGATAGATAGATAGATAGATAGATAGATAGATAGATAGATAGATAGAGATAGATAGAGATAGATAGATAGATAGATATAGATAGATATAGATAGATAGATAGATAGATAGATAGATAGATAGATAGATAGATAGATAGATAGATAGATAGATAGATAGATAGATATAGACAGACAATGAATAGATAGCTAGATGGATGGATGGATGATAGATGATTGAGAGCCAGTTTGGTGTAGT